TGGTAATCATTGTTATTTAACAATGGCTAATTAAAGTTCTAAAATACAGTTGAAATTGATAAGCTAGCCCGTAAGAAATGTTTTGTGATTTTTGAGAATTTTTTAAATGACACCTGCTTGTTCTTGTATAGGAATTCTAATTACTATGTCAATTAGAAATATTCTAATGGGAAGTTAATAAATGAATAAAGAACTATTCTATATGAGATCCCAGTTGTTTAGATCTTTTAAAGCTTATAACCACAGTGAATCACACCTGAAAGACAATAAGGATTCCGGTGTCACACAGAAAACGGGGAATAAAATTGTCACCTTGTGCACTGACTCAAATTTCTAACTGACCATCAAATAAACTAATGCATTGCTGCAATCTAAGTCTAGAGTTCTGAACTGTGGTCACCCAAAGGTGTGAATTGGGTATAAATGACTGCAGCTGTTTCTCTAAAAGGAGCAACTGAACAGCATTCACAGCCTTTGCTGCAGCCTGAATTTTCTAGCACGGCAATGACTCCAGGCTTGCATCCATTGGGAAAAGTCACTGCAAATATACAGGATAAAAAATAATGGAAAACTTAGTAAATATTTACTTGTTAATAAAGAAACCTTGTATTCCACCACCGTATAAGATCATTCCTACTGAAAACACCTCTTTCAGTTCAAAATTGAATTCGAACCGAAAGAAACATTATGTCACTATGACGAGTTTGGCTTCCTCCAGATTGAGAATGTTGACCTCACTTCTACTATGACTTCAAATGCTCATATCCTAAATTGGGATTGTTAGGTGTGAAATGTCCCATTCCCAGAGTTGTCACATCAAATGTATGTCAGTCTATAGATGTACCAAGGTTTTGGAGTGAAAGCTGACTTTTTTCTCTCACCCTGATGTCTAGGGAAAGCAAACAGGATGATATGAATCATATATATGCAAATTTTTGTCCCATTTGGGGCACACTGAAAATTCCTCTTCTTCTGAAGAGAGAGAGAGACGTACACAGGCCTGACTTTCAGATTTGACTAACAAGCAGGGTGTGTTAGACTAATCATGCATCAAGTTTCATTCGCAAGTAATGTTGCAGTGTTGATATACTTCAGTGAAGCCCAAAGGTCTTCACATATTTATGTGAACAGTTTTCACTTGGAGCAGTATGTGGAATGTGTTGTATAGGAATAGTCAAAGAGCCATTTGTTATTTAGACAGCAAAGAATTTTCAGAACGAGTGCATTTCATGCTTCCAAAGCAAAGCTTTGTTGGCTACAAGACAACATTGAGCTGTTGGATTAAACCACCGTGGACGCAAATTAGCCCACATCTGCCCACCGTGCGTTCTTGGCATTCTGCTGGAACATCTGGCTTTAGTTGCCCTTTGAGGGGACTGCATGGGGATAGCTGCATCACAAATCTAAGCCACTAGGACAGTTCATGTGTTCCTAAAGTTTTATGGGCTGGGATAGAGGGCCTCACTGAAAGTCTGTCATCTTGGCTCTGAGTCTACAATGTGTCAAAGTGTAAAGCACTGACAGCTGTTACGTAGTCGCACTGCTGTCCCCCCTAGCTGGAACCAGGCTTATTATAGTTGGACTGTATATGTTAAAGCACTTAATAGTAATGAGAGCCACATTCTTCTTATGCTTACCTAATATTTGTCTAGCAGACACTGTAAAGGACATGTTCATCAGTACGTGGGTGGGAACTTGATCTGTTGCTTATAACTGGGGATGCAAATAACAGTTCCAAAACAAACAATTGTGGGGTGAAGCAATGCCTTTCTCATATTAATATGAGCCTTTCTCATTATTGATATGTATTCATCAGAAAAGTACAGTTCACTATGGACAGTGCTCATATTATCCAGGTACATGTAAATGCTTCAAACATACCATAGACAATTGGGGTTAAGTTGAGACCTGTAGCCACATTGGAAATCGCTAATATGAAGGCACCACTGGCCGATTATGTTACGAGGCTGTCTGGGGTGGAATAGAATATGAAATGCAGTGACTGTGACTGCAACGGTAATGGAAATACCCTCTAATTCTCCTCTTTATAAGGTATGGTTTTCCTGTTTATCTAGAGCATAGGTTCCCAAAGTGGTCTATATGGACCCCTAGGGGTCGATTTCAACTTGCAGAGGGTCCACATCAGAGAGAAAAAAAAATTGGGGGTGCACAAGATGTAAATGGGGGTCTGCATGAGCAGACCTTGTGGAAAGGGGTTTTAGCGTGGCTTGCTTCCAATCTTGTAAAAAAAAAGTCAATTGCATATCATTGAATGTGGAGAACTAATTTCAAACCCAATATTGAAAAACTATTATCAGAACAACAGGTTCATCCCTCTCATTAACATTATTAGCTGTGTATTAATTTATTAATTTTACTAAGTTCTGATTTTTTTTTCATTCCAAATATAAATATTTAGTTGCATTTTGTGTTTTTTTCAACAAAGGTATTAATAAAAATTGAACTTTTTTTTACACTTGTGCACTCTTTCAAAAAACCCTTAAAACACGTTTGAAGTTAATAGGTTTAGGAAAATGCGATATTAGGTAGCGGGGGGGGTCTATGGAAAACAAATAAGTCAGAAAGTGGTCTAAGGGGCAAAAATGTTTGGGAACCTATGATCAGAGGCTTCCACTCCCTGTACTCCCTGTTTTTCAATATATGAGGTTTTAAAGATCCCTGTTTCATCTATTTTGGCATATCTGAAGTTGCCTCCCTGCCTGCCTTAGGTAAAAAGATTTTGATGCAACCTCTCTCTGAAAGCTACATGGCACCTGTGTTTAACTCCACGTGTTTCATCCACAAGCGAGATGTTTTGATTGCCAGGTCTCTGTACTTCGTTAGTTTTTCCAATTATTTATTTCAACTCTGGCATCCCCTGGAATTCAATAATCCAGACATTTCTTTGTTCTATTACTATTATGTCAGATGCGTTAAATTCAAGATGTATCTCAATTTGAATCCAGAAATCCCACGAGATCTTGACTTCCTCATTATCTGATACCTTCTCCACCTGATGTTCCCATGGGTTTTTGGAAGCTGGCAAATTATATTTTTTGGAAAATGACCAGTGCACTAATTTTGCCACTCGATCGTGTTTAATTTTGTAATCTGTTCATGCGATCTTTGGACATTTGTAGATGAGGTGTGACAGTTTCATCTTTCTTTTGGCAGAGTCAACATTTGCTGTTAGCACTACTTCTTTGAATCTTAGTTTTCAGCACATTGGTTTGGAGTGCTTGTTCTTGTGCAGCAAAAATTAAGCCCTTGGTTTCTTTCTTAGTGGTCTCCAGCTTTATCCATGCCCATCTTGAATTATTAGCATGTTTTTCATCATCATCATTAAAACACCAGGCACATGTAGTCATTGCAAATGTAGTAATAGAACAATTCCAACCAACACTTGGGGTCTAATACTTGCTGCTGACTTTTAACTAGTATTAAGTAACACAATATTCTGGTCTGGTTTCCTGTATCCTTGGTAGGACTTTTTGAACATTCATAGGGTCACCATATATCAGAAGCAATTTGATGACATCTCTCTCTCTCTCTCTCTCTCTCTCTCTCTCTCACACACACACACACACACACACACACACACACACACACACACACACACACACACACACACACACACACACACACAGGATTAGTGGAAATGAAGGAACACTCAACCTACAAAAGCAGATAAAGATTAATAAAGTAATTAAAAAGGAAAATGGAAGATTCACAAAGCAGTGTTGCTATAAATGAAAGAGGTAGCACTGGAAGAAGTGAGGAATTCCCCAGTGCTTAAAGACGTCCAGCCCCAGAATGCTTTGAAGTCACAAAAGTCAGGAATGAGAGGCAGCAGATGTTTCTCATCACTGAGTATCTAATTGCCCATGGCATGTGGCCATGTTCTACATGGCATTGAAAACTATGTCTATGTGTCTATAAGAGAAAAAAACTTCATTGTGTAATAAGTTATTACAGGATTACTTTTGGAAAAAGTATGTTTTTTCCAACAAATATAATGCAAAAATTTGTTAAGATCTTGGGCAACATGTCCCAAATGCAGAAGTATTATGCAGAAAGAAATGTCATTTGGAAACATCGTTAAAAGTATGGGCTGCTTCTTTGATGCTTCTCTTGTACCCCAGGTTCTTTCCAAAAACAATAGGCATAATTCTACCTTTTCACCCTCTTTGGAATATTTTTACTGCAATTTGATTCTCCAGGCAGAATGACAACTTCTTGTTGAATCATCCCACCCTATTGTTGGCATGCCGATCTGTCTTTTATGCCTTTCCGGATGATGTCAAAGCAGTATAAATATGCCACATGCCTTTTGTCAATAAGCACCAAACTTGGTGCAAAACTGCCACTACTATTTTTCCAATATACTGTAGTTTGAATGTAGTATTCTGCATTTTCAGTTATAATGTGTGTTCCACTTTGATTCTCAATGGGCTAATTACTCTTCAGATGTATACATTTTCCCAGCCTGAGGTCTGCAGGTAAACAATGGTCTGGACAAACCACAGGGCTGAATCACGCTAGCAATGTTATGGGTCTCGATTTTTTAAAATCATGGTTGCTACTTGACTGCACCACCACCTATAGTTTCTGTGTCTAGCAGAATTTTGTCCATGAATGAAGACATCCTGATGAGCAGTTTTAGCCTTCAACCTGCCTGTTAAAATGTTTGAAAAGAAAAAGGGGGAGGGGGATTACATGGGCAAATCTGAGTGGGCTGGATTTTAGGGTTAGTGGTATGTCAGTCATCAGCTTACAGCACCGTGGCCCCTACATCAGGTTCCTCTTACTCAGGAAACAGCTGATGCGCAAGTTTCAGGCACACAATTGATTGTCAGCAATTGGTCATGGCTCATCTGACTGTCCCTGAAGGACCATTAGTCTTCTTCCATCAGTGATACTATGCAAGAGGGGTGTGTTCCTTCTGTGGCTTTACACGGCATTCTAGTAAAAAAGATAAATTTCCTTCTTGCGATCTTGGGCTTTGGGTGTTCCTCGTTCTGGGAAGAGATTTAAAGCTGTCTGCCAGACCCGTGGGCTGTTAAAACAAGACAGTGCCACAATGCTGAGCTCAGGGCTGCGTGCTCCCCTCCTCCCCCTCCCCTTCCTCCTGTTGCTCACAGCCATGGAACTGAGCTGGTCCTTTACAAGCGAGGAGAAGAAACTGATCCTAGACCTGCACAATCAATACCGTTCTAAGGTTGATCCTCCAGCCGCAGACATGCTGAAAATGGTAAGTGAGCTAGACTTCTGTGGCAGGGTGGGAATCCATAGGATTGCCCTTGTCTCACTTGGCATGAATTTTTCTTTGGAAACTGTAACTTCTCTTGCATGTCTTATAAAGATGCTCTTTAAAATGTCGTCCTTTTGTGCAGTTTTTGAGATGTACAGTAGTTGAAACCAGCAGCCAGGTAGCTGAATTCTGGAGACTTATCCAGAGCTTCTTAGAGCATATTGCAAAACTAATAATTGCTATATGAAATATGATTATTTTGGGTAAATGTACAATGTTTAAAGGTTGATTTCCTTACCTGATTTGGAGACTCTATATACCTTAGCTATAAGCATTTTAATGGATTTTTTAATTGCAAGGATTTCTCACAATCGCTCAGCATCCTCTTGTGATTTAGGATGTAACTCAAAAAAGGAAGTGTGTGCTTGGCTACAGGAGGTCTGTTCCTGGCAGTGATGCTAAACTGCGGTATAAATATGGGCAAGTTCTTGTGCTTCTGTTTCCTCTCACTCTGATCTTTGTCTGATGAGCACATTGTGACTTGGGCCCCAATTCCAACTAGAGCATCACTGGGGCTTGTACAGGTGTTGTGGCTTGCTTTCATTTGGACAACATGACTGCACATATGTAACTCATTAGCTACAGGGAATACAAAGCAGTAGTCTTTGGTTTAGGTTGGGCTACTGTTTCAGGACCTTGATACTCAAATTGCAGTTTGGCTTTCCTAACCGAGCAGTAGTAATTGTAGAAGGAGTGGCTGTGTTAGTCTGTGCAAGCATTATAGGTGAAAATGAAGAATTTGAAGGTAAATCATATTGGGAAGAACCAAGGAGGTAATGATCTGAGTATTTTTAAAATCTCTGTGACTCAGGGTGTATCTCTCCCTTGCACTTTCTGTACCCTTCAGAAAGTCACTCGTGCCCATGGTGCCTATTTCTCTATTACTAAGAACCAAAATACATAACATAGAAGTTTTGTGAACAAATCTCTTGACTTCCCTCCCTCCCAGATGTGAAATCAAGTGCACAGAGAAGTGGGAATCAAATCACACTGCTTAGAAAGCAGGTTGATCTTTGCTCCTGAGTTAATTATTAAATTGCTCCCTCCCACAACTGACATTAATCACAGAGGAGGGAAAATACAGGAACATTGCTCTACACCTTTTGAAAGCACTATTCCCTTGCGATCTACTATACTGCAAATGGAATAATTCAAACTGTGATCATTCAAATGCATCTGCAACTCTTTCAGCTAGAAAAAGAACAGCTTGATAATCTAATTTAAGATAATTCAATGTGGATGGATACTATTTTCATATAGAACACGTTAGCACTGGTTCAAAGAACATTAGATACATCCAAAGTGATGGGAATATCTTGCTATGGTGGGTGTAACTTCAAACAGTACACCTCCACTGCCTCGTGGCTATATCCACTCATAGAAAAGGCTTCAGGAGTTAACCTAGAGGCAAATTCTGGAGCTAAAGTCCCAAAGACAGTTCGTGTTGTTCTGCCAACTCCTGCGATGTTGCTGGAACCAGTTGTATTGGCTCTTGTCTTTCCATTGGACCATTTCAGCAACGTGGAGAGGGGGGATTTGCTGCTTGGGTAACAGCCTATCCTCCATACTACTTTACCAAGGCTTCATGCTCTAGAGAGGACACTTCTCGATACAGAGCATGTTACCATAGTCTCTCGAGACTGAAGGATGCCTATGAATGGCTCCTCTTTGGATGCATCTTTTGCCTTCACTACGGTGTGCTCAGATGCTGTGAGATGCTCTAGATGCTGCTAGAATGTTGAGTTATGGTCCAAGAGACTTTGGTTCAAATCTCTCCTTCGCCATGAAGTTCATTGGATGGCTATGGACCACTCATACTCTTTCAGACAGACTTTACTTCACAGGATAGTTATGAGGATAAAGTGGGGTAAAGGACCATCTTATTTGCCACCTTGACCTGCTGTAATTAACTTAAATACATTAATGTGGTGATGGGTGTTACAAATTAGAAGAGCGGATGCCTTCAGAATGAGTTATTCGATCAGATGGTGGGGAGTGGCCAGCCCTCCGTTCATCATTTCCCACTTCTTTGTGATATGACAGAAGGATCCATAAGGACTGGTCACATGACAGGTAAATCATGTCATAGGAATTCCTTACATTCTTGTTACCAAGTGACATCTGCTATTATAAGATAAACACTTTCAGGAAAAAGTCATCCTTAATCTCTTGGATTTTTGTTTTCTTCTCCTTATTGAACTATAGTAGCTTGGACCAATTTTACATGGTTGTATATTTGCCCCATCTCTAATCACTAGGCTGTAATCCCACAATCTATTTATCTAGAGTAAGCCTCATTAAACTCAGCGCGACTTATTCCTGAATAGACTTGTACCGAATTACCCCATCATGAGAATATGAATGGGCAGAGAGCAAAAGAAGCAGCTGAATGACAGAGGGAGAGAAAAACCAGAGAGAAAGAAATAATGGGGAGGGGTTCAGAAGAAGAAAAGAGAAGGAACAATGGGACAGCGTGGTGGATAAGAAATTCGATATCAAGAAGTTTTTAGCCAGCTATTATATTGTAGTGTGCCCTTTATTCACACTCCCATATTAAACAATTGAAAAACAAATGTGAAAGTAGTGCAACACAAGTAGGGATGTTACTGGTACTGGGGGGTGAGGAGGCAGTAACCATGATTTAGTTACATTAATTACTTTTAAAAATGTAACGATTGGTGGCATAAAGTATGAAGAACTATTGCTTTTGGGTAGATATTTGGCTATTTTTGTATTTTTGAAAATAATTATTTTTAAAGTAATTAACAGAAGAAACGAATGGCAACCACTTCTGAGTACAGTACACTCTACCTATAAAACCCTGAAAAAAGGGTGGCTATGAGTTAGAATTGGCTTGACAGCACATAATTGTAATGAACTTCTGGATAGCTCAGTAGTTTAGGTATCTGGTTACAAAGCCAGAAGTTGGAAGTTTGAATCCCCACTGTGCCTCCTTGACAGGAGTTGGACTTGATGATCCATACGGTCCCTTCAGCTCTGCAGTTCTAAGATTATGTTATCCCTTAAAGTGATGAACAACGAGCAATGATGTTAGTGAGAAATTTGAAAACAATAACATCAATACCCCCCAAGCATGTACCAAATTAAGTTTTTTTAAAATAACTTTCAAAGTTCTGACTGCAAGCTTCAGAGATGCATAGCTGAGACCTAAAGGGATTCCCTTCTTTAATCTACTGCTAAAGTTCTGTTTCCCACATCTGACTTGCCCCTCCTCACATACTTTCCTCCCTCCCTCCCTCCCTCCCTCCCTTTCTTTCTTTCTTTCTTTCTTTTTGGGTTAATCTCTCTCCACTCATGATCTCTGACCATGTGAACAACATTGAGGGCCTGTCTTCGACATGGTTGAGACTCATTTTCCCTCTTTTTTGTTTTCATCCTTCTGACTGTAACTATAGACAGCAACTGTAAGTAAAGTTATCTCCTTTTCTACTTTAAATACTTCTAGAGTGATTTTATACTAATTAAGTACTAGTCATTGTGAAAGGGGAGTGGTGGTGAAACTAGGCTGATCATTCCGCGTTTCTCACTCTGCTGACTAAAAGAGTATTAACCAAATTCTCCAATAGTCCCATGGAAGATGGAACAAATCTATTCTGCATCTCAGGAGAGTAGGATACAATGTAATGGATTCAAATTATGAATCCATTACATTACATTTGGATAAAATTGGGAAGAACTTCTTGACACTGACAGCTGTTCAACAGACTAATGGAGTGTTTAGTCTGTTACAGATTCTTCTCATTAGAGGTTTTTAAGCAGAACTTAGATGGCCTCTTATTGAAGATGCTTTAGCGGTGGATTTCCTGTTTGGCAGGAGGTTGGACTCAATGACCCTTGGGATCCTTGTAGATCTATGAGTTCTTTGATTTAGAAGAAGTAACCATCAGAAAGAGCTTTGCCACCCAACCAACAATTTCCAGTAGCATCCACTCAAAAAGCCAAATTTAATCAGTGAGCAGAGTGGCTGGGCCAAATAGGGATTCATCACAATATTTCAAGGTGCTGTGCCTAAAAGGACCTTCTCCTTCTATGCATCCATTACTCCTTCAGTGAGGAGAGGGACTGGGTGAGAAAGAAGAAACCAGGGCTTCTTTGGTTTATCAGAGTGCATGAGAGGGAACCAACTGGCAAAAGTGTTCCTTAAGGATATCCTGGCAATAAGCTGGTTAGAACCTAAAGGAAGAGCCAGCACTTTGTACTGGGCCAGACGGTGAATAGGTAGACAATGCAGGTCACCTGTTTCTTGGATATGTTTCATCTGGTCAGCCATAGGTAACAATTTGGTAGCGGCATTTTTGCAAACATGTGAACCTTATTACTCTTGATGGATGATTCCTTTACTTTATTGGGTTGTGACATGAATGTCATACCACTAAATCATGGGAAAGACCTGCCGATGTTGATAGGTTCTTCTGGCTTGGAGGCTTTTATGAGCATCAGGAGTGCCATAGCAGTATCATGTTCAGTTAAGCTTGCAATACAAAGATAGGGTTTGGTGCTGATTGCCACTAATCCAAATGAACTAGTCAGCTCAGTTGAGGTGGCAGTTGAGGTGGCAATTTCTGTAAATAAACAGTGTCTGTAGTGCCAGCCTGTATAATAGATGGTACCACCTTTCTAGTAGCATCTATGTTCACTTTCCATGTGGGCTTGGCACAACTCATTCTGAAGAAATACCTTCTGGAAAAATGTGGGAGTTAACGAGTCACCACCTTCATTTGCCTCAGGCTTATTTTTTCAGAACAAGAGTTACACTTCCATAGGCCTCTGATTGCCAAGTCTCCCTCTGAAGTCACACTTTTCACTTTTGTTTGGGTCAGCAAAACAGGTTGCCATGGAAATATTTATATACATTGAGTGACGCTTGCCAAACTATATTTTAATGGAACAAGAAACACAGCTGCAGGACCTCTGTATGT